ATAATTTAAGTTAATTTAAATCAATTCATTGATCTAAAATAAAGTGGGAGACATTATCATGTGCAATTAGTATCTCATGTCCGCCTCAACTTACTTGCCAAATAATAAGTAACTAGATACAGGATCCCGTGCCAGCACGGGTCTAATATATGTTAATTTTTTTGTTTTAATTTATGGGATATCATGAAACTTGAGAAGTTATCAAAAATTTTATATGATTTTAAAAATATTTTAAGTTGTTAATTATTGTAATTTATACTTGTTTTATTACTCTCTTTGTTTCAATTTACGTGACATATATAGGATGTCAAAAATTAACCTTTTTATGTTTTTTAAACATATTAAATTGTTAATTTTTGTAATTTATAGTACCTTTTTAACATAATTTTCAAATAATATATGTTACTTCCCATGTCTCAATTTATGTAACATTGATAGATTTTTTGGAGTCAAGTGATTTTTTTATATGTATTTTTAAAATTGTTAATTATTGTGATTTATAGTACTTTTTACGTCAATTTCGAATAATATTTGTTTATCATCAAACTCATTTTTTTGTGGCACCAATAGAATGTCACGAGTCAATTGAATTTTCTTTTACATAGCTTTTAAATATTTATGTTGTTAATTATTATTTATAGTATTATTTATACAATTTTTTAAATTTATAATCAACATAAAGAATAATATCAGAGAAATAAATTTAACACAAAGAAAATACTAAATAGTAATGAAAAAATATATATATAAATAGAATGATACAATTTAATTTTAAAATGTTTATTTTAATTTTAATAAAATTATTTATAGCTACATAAATATTTATCACTTGTTTTAAATCATAAATTTTTAAAAAAATATTATTTCTTATACTCTGTGTCAAATCAAAGTAACTTATATAATATATAAAATAGGGGGGAGGGATAATATTAAGAATAGTTGCAAATTGATACAAGTCCTCTCTCTTGGCTCTCGGCGTACGTTAGTATACAGTCGCCAGTGGAGCTACAACCATAGCGAGGGGACGAGGACGAGGGCGAGGGAAAGGCAGGGGAAGACCAAAGCAAATACCAATTGTTTCATTTGGGAGCTCAGTAAGCACTAAAACACCAGGGAACAATGAAACCCCATTAAAGCCACACCAGAACACAAGAATGGAGGTACAGAACCAGATCCAAAAGGTAGCGGAGGAGGAACTAGGGGTCCAACGATGCTACATCTAACTGGATCAATTGTAGCAAAGCTCACACTAGCTAAAAAAGATGCTACAGTAACCAATGGAATAGTGCTAGATGGTGATCGAATGGAAGAAGAAGACGAAGGAATTGAAGCTCCACCAAATTCAGAGTGGGCTAACCTCTTTACAAAGAACAGAGTTGCTGCGAATGGGCTTAATTTGGATTACATCCCACCTAAGCTGGTAAATGGTCAACAAGTTGTGGAACTAGTTCAAGAGGAAGTCGAGAAGGAGATTCATAAATGGAGCTACTCTTTAATAGCCTATTTTATTGGAGATGCCCCAGGATAAAAATCGATGCAGAGGTATGTATCACAATTTTGGTCAATTGTGGCTCAGCCGGAACTGTATTTTCATGAAGTAGGATACTATATCATCAGATTCCAGACCAAAGAAGATATGCAAGAAGTATTGTATAGTGGACCATATACTATAAACAAAAAACCTATCATACTAAAGGCATGGACACATGATTTCAATCTCGCAAAGGAATTTCCAACTGAAATACCTTTGTGGGTAAAGTTTCCAAACCTCTCTATGACTTGTTGGGGCAAAGATTCATTGAGTTGGATAGCCAGTGTTGTAGGGAAACCTATGTATGCTAATGAATACACTGCTAAACAGACTAGAATCTCATTTGCAAGGATGCTAATTGAGGTGAATATCACTAATCCCTTGCCTAATGAGATTACTGTTTTGGAACCTAACGGTAGACAAATTCAGCAAGAGATACAATATGACTGGAGACTAAAATTTTGCCAGCAATGTTCACTGGTTGGACATTGTTGCCTACCAAATCCTCCACAGCAAGAAAATGCAATCCAAAAGAGACAATATAATGGTAAAAAAGTGACTCAAGAATGGAGATATAAGGGAATGATATCAACAGTGCCGGCACCAGATTCTCCAACTAATGAGAATGAAACTCATATCAATACACCTATGCAGAATCCTCCATCAATGGTACAATCTAGTCCTGAATTTAATTTGATTAACTATCATGTATTGTGCTCAGTACTAATAAAAAATGGATTTGGTAGTTTGGTAAGAAAAATTGGGAGGAAAATAGTTTAGGTAAGATCCCTCCTGAAAAAGGAGGACCTTCTAATACCATTTAATGAGTTGGGTCATTTGGAATGTAAGAGGAATAAACAAGTGGCATAAACAAAAGGAGCTCAAACACCTTTTGAAAAGTAGGAAAATAAAGCTTGCTGGATTAGTTGAAACTAGAGTCAAACACCATAATTGTTCCAAAGTAGCAAACAATATTACCCAGGGTGGGGGGTTATTACCAACTATCAACATGCTATTAATGGTAGAATCTGGATCATTTGGGATTCTAATACATACAAAATTACTGAAATCACCTCATCTGTCTAACTTATCCATTGCCTAGTTTTTGATATACTTGGATATTTTACTTGTGAGTGTACAGTTATGTATGGATTTAATTCCATAGAGTTGAGAAAACCTCTCTGGGTTGAATTGAGAAGGATTGGACAGAATATAAGCTTGCCATGGTTTACTTGTGGTGATTTTAATGGAGTGCTTCATACTACTGATAGAATGTTTGGAAATCCTATCAGCCTAGCTTAGATCAAAGATTACAAGGAGTGTATTCATGAGTTGCTGCTGACTGAACTTCCCTGGAAAGGTAATTCTTACACATGGACAAACAAGTAATTAGGTACAACAAGAATCTGTAGCAGGATTGACAGAGTTTTTGGTAATCATGAATGAATGATGAAATGGGGACATGTGCAGATTATGTATGACCTCCCTCAATTATCAGATCATACTCCCATGCTCTTAACTTTGAAAATAGCTCACTGGTCCATTAAAACACCTTTTAGATTCTTTAATGTTTGGGCTGACCACCCCAAATTCAGAAGTATTGTAGAAGGCATTTGGACAATTCACTAAGCAACTAATCCAATGGAAAATATTTGGAGGAAGTTGAGAGCATTAAAAACTCCTCTGAAAGATCTGAACAAGGAGGAATTTAGGGGGATAGAAGCAAAAATATCCAAAGCAAGAATGGATTTGGCCCAAATACAAGATCAAATCAATAGACATTGCATAGATTACCTATTGGAATTGGAGAAGAAGATCCTACAGGAACTAGAAAAATGGTCCAATATTGAAGAAAATGCTCTCAAGCAGAAATCTCGAGCAAAATGGATCCAATTCGGAGATGGTAATAATTAATATTTTTCAGCAATCATAAAGGAGAGGATCCACAGAAAACAAATACTAGAACTCACCTCCATCACTGGTAATGTCCTGACTGATCAGAGGGAAATTAGAGATGAGATCTTGGTGTTTTATAAGTCATTAATGGGATCATCAACAATTGCTCTACCAGCAGTGAACAAAGATATTATGAGAAGAGGCCCTGTCTTAAGCCACCAGCAAGGGTTAAAGCTATGCAAACCAGTGACTGAAGAAGAAATATATGCAAGCCTGATGTCTATTGGTGATGATAAAGCTCCAGGTGTAGATGGTTTCAATGTTGAGTTTTATAAAAAAAATCTGGTTACTGGTGAAAGAGAATGTACTACAAGCTGTTGGGGAGTTTTTTACTACAGGTGTCATGCACAAGGCCATTAACTGCACTTCTATAACACTGGTACCAAAGATAACCAATCCTATATCAGTGAAAGAGTACAGACTAATTGCCTGCTGCACAGTCTTATACAAAATCATTGCAAAAATACTCATTGTTAGGTTACAGTATGTAATAACATCTGTGATAAGTGAAGCCCAATAAGGATTCATTCCTGGTAGAAAAATTGCAGACAATATCATCTTGGCAACTGAGTTAGTGAAAGAGTATCAAAGAAAACATACCTCCTCCAGATGTATGATTAAGATTGACCTGCAAAAAGCTTATGACTCAGTAGAATAGATCTTTCTTAAACAAATCCTGATTGAGTTATGCTTCCCAGCTAAATTTATACAGTGGATTATATAATATGTATAGACTGTAAGTTATACTGTGATGATAAATGGAGAGCCATCCAATCCATTTAATGCTGCCAAGGGACTCAGACAAGGGGACCCTATCTCACCATTCTTGTTTGCTATAGCCATGGAGTATCTAAGTAGATCACTGTCCACCCTCAAAGATAACAAGAATTATGCCTACCATCCTAGATGTGCAAAATTAGGGATCACTCATTTATGCTTTGCAGATGATCTGCTTATGTTTGCAAGAGGAGACCTAGATTCTATTACAACATTGATGGATTCTTTCAAATCCTTCTCAGTAGCATCTGGCCTCCAAGCAAATATGGGAAAATGTTATATCTATTTTGGAGGTATATCAAACATAAAAGGTGACAAGATCATACATCATACTGGTTTCATTGCCGGACAACTACCTTTTAAATACTTAGGCATACCTCTCTCTACAAAGAAGCTTTCAATGATTCAATGGACACCATTGGTTGAGAAAATAGTTGCAAGGATTTCCTCCTGGACTGCTAAAAAATTATCACATACTGGAAGATTGCAACTAATCCAAACGGTTATTTTTGGTATTCAAGCTTATTGGTCACAAATTTTCATCATCCCAGCAAAAGTTCTCAAGCTCATTGATTCTCAATGTAGAAGCTTTCTGTGGTCAGGAACCAACATAATCACAAAAAAATCCTTAGTGGCTTGGGAGAGAATATGTACTCTAACAACATGGGACTTAGCTCATAAGTAAGATAAACTATGGATTCGATAGATTCATACATATTACATCAAGTCTCAAACAATGGCATTAGCACTTATACCCTCGCAGGCATCGTGGATGATAAGGAAGATTATGGCAGCAAGAAGAACTTTGGAACAGACTCAGGCAATACAATTAAGTTCTGTAAGCATAAAGTATATCTATCAAAAGCTCCTGGGAGACAATCCAAAAGTTGCATGGAAGTCCCTCTTATTTGGCAACAGTGCAAGACCAAAGGCTAAATTCACACTATGGTTGCAGCTACATGATAGACGGCAAACAACTGACAGACTTCAGGCATGGGGATTAGATATTGATCAACAATGCAAACTCTGTCAACAACAGGGGGAAACAAGAGATCACTTATTTGTTCGATGTGAATTTACTCAAGGGGTGTGGAAAAGAATTATGACTTGGCTGCAATGGCAATGGAATCCTACAACAATTTGGGACACTCATCTAGCATGGATAATACTGTGTGCGAAGGGGAGATCATTGAATGCTCAGATTTTCAAAATGATATATGATGAGATTACATATGCAATTTGGATGGAAAGAAATAGGAAGATCTTTGAAAACACACGACGTCAATGTGAGGACCTTGCAAAGGAGATCGTCTACATTTGTAATGTTCGAGCCAGCTCTCTAGTTAAGACAAAAATCCAGCAGCTTAAAATTTAGTTAGGCTGTAGGCTTGCCCCTTTTATGAGTTTTTTTTACAGTTTGAGATAGCAATCTGTGATAGTATTACTATGGATATGTAAAGAACAAATTTGGTGATTAATAGAAATGTTAGTTACCAAAAAAGATAATATTAAGAGTAATTTTTTAAGTACAAAAACACTTAAAAAGCTAAAGATACCATGTTAGAAAATGTGAGAGACCAAAAGAAGGAAGAACTTGTCAAATAAAATTTTAATTGGCCCCACTTTATTGGATGACTCTATTTAAAAAGTTGCATAAAGAGTGCGTGTAGTAAACATCTAAGTAAGGACTAAGGACCACACTTTGTAAAAAAGCAAATAAAAAACAGAGTAAAAAAGCACATGGCGCGTAGTAATTAAGTATCAGCTGGGGTCCATAAGTCAGAGTAGTAGTACATTTTGAGAAAGGACGAATGAATAAATACATAAATATGTTTTGGGTTTTTTGTCCAACAGAGCAATAAAATAATCATGATAGCAGTTGGTACAAGTCAATTACAGCGATTATGTTTGGTAATACCTAATTTACCCCTTGGTCAGCAAGCAACCATGTTGACGAAGAGCTGCTTGTCGAAGACTCTTATATATAGTATACTTCCTCTGTCTCAATTTATGTGACTCACTTTCCATTTTGGTCAGTCCCAAAAAGAATGACACATTTCCTTATTTGATAAATATTTAATGACATTATTCCTATTTTACCCTTCTTGAATCTCATTATTTCAATAGTTGTACTCTTTTAATTTAAAGAAAAAGTTATTGAAATGCAGTAAAGTACAACTACTTTTCTCTTTTTCTGATAGTCAACAGTACTTTAAACACTTTTTTCAATACTTTGTCATAACCTATTCTTTCTTTTCACCACTTTATCATATTTTTTCTTTCTTTTACACTATTGATAGAATTGTGAAGTACGTGAATGTAATTTTATTTTTATTTTTAAAAATTAAAGAATGTACAATCATAAGTTGTCCTCACTTAAAAAAAAGTTGATGAATGTTTCTTCTTTTTTCTGTAGTTAAGATTTACAATAAAAATAAAATGAAAATTTTCAAATATAAACTTCAAGAAGTAAAATTTTCTTACATTTACCAAAATGAAAATTTTACTTCAACATGTTGAATTTACAATGTCCCAACAAAAACTTTAAACTATTCCAAAAGTAAATTACACTTTGCAAGATTTTAACATAAACATTAAACTATTCAAAAATTAAATTAAATTTGCAAAGTTCTAATATAAACATCAAAATGTACAAAAACACAAGTTGTTTTAATACTTGTAATCTCATCACTGTTGAAGTAGAGTTAAAGCTTGATTAACAACATCAACATCACAACGAACTTGAAGTGGGAGATCATTTTCTCTTTCGAGTCTTTCTTTGTTCATATGAGGCACTTTGTAGTTATTGCCACCACTATCTTTCATCACCTCATTCATACAACATTGCAAAAGTAAAAAATACATGATTGAGTCGTTCTATTTTCATTTCATTGAATGATTTTTCAACAACCTCCACTAATTCATCAACATTTGAAGGAGCATTTTGATATTGAAGAGATTGAATTGCTCTAAAAAATCCAAGGTCCAAAACGTTAAGATCAAGACTATTAAGGGGTTGAAAGCATAACTTAATATCAAATCCATCTCGTTGAGCAGCATCCATGAATTCCAAATCATTAACACCAATATGCGGTCTAGCATTATCTTGTTGGATGAAAATAGGTGCACTTGACTTGGAAGCTGGCCATTTTGATCAAATGGCTAGAAGAACTTTCTCTATCAAACAAGCTCTTGTGATATCTTTAGTCACCGATAAAATCAATTTTGTTTCGATAGTTCCTGTTGTTCGATTTTGCTATTCCGTTTGGCTGGTTCCTTAACTACAAATGGAAAAATTTATATTTTTCCCAAAAATAACTCAACTCCATTAACGTCAAATCTAGGATGTGCAACAACTATCATAAACATAACTTTTGTGATAAAAGTTTTATTTTTGCAAGAACGATACGAATTAGACTCTTCTTCTTTGGGAAGAAGATAATACCTTTCAGATTTTTTTGATAAGTAAAACCATTCTTCATTGATATGGATATAATTAAACATGTCTATAAACATGGGATTTGAGTGATGAGAGGCAAAATCGAAGGCTCGCCTTTTTCTTTTCTTCAATCAAGTGCGGTTTGATGGCGTTGGTGTGTGGCCTAATTGCACCTTCTTTCACACGTCGAAAAAATGTTGATTTTGTCATATTTATTGCAAAGGAAAGAGATCTAATATTTGTTCGACAACATAGTGAAATTTCTTTGAATTGGTTGATATCGACTTGTACGCATTTTCTCCCAACTTTACCTGCAAGATTAGTAGAAACATTTAACATGTCACCATTAGCAACACATAATCTAGCTTGTCTCCAAATACGATCAATGGTACTTCTTGATATGTTGAACAAAATACTTGCTTCCTTTATAGAACCATGTTTAAGTTTTCCATTCTTACTTTCTTTCAGAAGCCACTCCGCAATTGCTCGACGGTCATTCAGATTCAATCACCTTTTTGTGGTTAATAGCGTATTGGTAGTTAGTTATAGATATGCATTAGTTTGAATTTTGAATTGAAACGATCTGGTATACCGTTTGTCTCGTATAGGACTCTTCTAGGTATATAATTTGTGTCCTTATAGAAGTTAACCACATCGGTTGTTCCTGTACTTTGTATCTATAAAAAGAGCGTCTTGCTCTTTCATTATGAATAAGATCGATACTCTATTTTACCAATTTATCATGGTATCAGAGCATCAGTAAACAATAACAAAATAATAATGACGAGGAACGATAATGAAGTAGTCAATTCTCCATAAACGCTGCAACCAACTGATAACCCTGGAGTGTCTCTGGTCACATGTTTACTCACACAAGATAACTACTCGACATGGCGAAGGGCCATGAGAAATGCCTTGTTGGCTAAGTTAAAGTTAGGCTTTGTTGATAGTAGTCTTCCGCGACCAACAACAAGCTCTACAAACAAAGCTGCCTGGATTAAGGGAAATTCCATGGTAATATCTTGGATTTTTAACTCTCTCCATCTCTCACTTCACAGTAGTGTAGCTTTTTTTATACAGCAGGTGAACTTTGGAAAGATTTAGAGAAGAGATTTTCACAAGGGAATGCTCCTAGAGTTCACCAGTTGAAGATGGAGATCGTGAATTCACAACAATAGTATCAAACAATGAGTGTTTACTATACCAAATTGAAGGGATTATTGGATGAGTATGGATCGTATTGTCAGTTACCAAACTGCAATTGTGGTGCCATTAAGGAATATGCAGCAGAAAGGGAAAAAGAGAAGGTTCATCAGTTTCTTATGGGTTTGAATAAGAAATTTAATGTTGTTCGATTTCAGATTTTAAATACTGAACCATTACCATCTCTAGCCCGTGTGTATGGACTAGTTTCACAAGAAGAACGACAACAACAACTCACTACAAGCAAAGGAAATAATTTATTGGAGGGGGCGACATTTGCTTCAAAAAGAAACACCAATACTTTCAATTCTCGTCAATTGTCAGGTAACCGTGATGTCTCTAAATTATTTTGTGATCACTGTAAATGATAGAGACACACCAAGGACAAATGTTTTGAACTACCAGATTGGTGGGAAAACAATAGAAAAGGAAAGGGTAAGTCAGCTAATTCCAGTTGAACATCAGAAGTTGAACGTGTGGATTACTCCCCAATAAGTGGTTTATCAAAAGAACAATATAACCAACTTATGTCTCTTTTAAGCCTTGAAAACTCCAAGGGTCTCGATTCAATGACTAATTTTGCTGGTAAGGCTGTTACTTTTCCTGCCGCTAATTATGAATGGATATTAGATTCGGGAGCGTCTGATCATATGACTTGTCAGAAGAATTCTCTGTCAAATGAAAGAAAGCTTCTCTTTGATTCTAATATAACTATTCCTGATAGTTCATCTGTTACTGCTAATACTTGTGGAGACGTGACTCTTAATTCTTCAATAACCTTAAATCATGTTTTACATGTTTAGATGTTTGGCTGCAATCTTATTTCTATCAGTAACTTGACACAATCATTAAATTGTGTTGCTTATTTTTTCCCTTCCTTTTGTGTTCTGCAGGACTTAGCCACAAGGAAGCTGATTGGCATGGGTAAACTGAAGAATAACTTTTATTATTTCCAAAGTCAAGCACTAGTTTCAACTCTTTTGTCAAATAAAGACCAAACTATTTTGTGGCATCAACGTCTTGGTTATGTATCTTTTAGTCGTTTGTCTTTCGTTTCAGAACTTCAGTTTTTTAATTTTAATAAGTTAGATGATTATTGTGATGCTTGCCACCGAGCTAAGCAAATTCGAAAGTCATTTCATGTTAGTTCTATTAAATCTAATGAAGCTTTTGATTTGATTCATTGTGATTTATGAGGTCTCTATCATTCACCTTCTTTGTCAAAGTCTAATTATTTCTTGACCATCGTGGATGATTTTACCAGAACTACTTGGATGTATTTGCTTAAGTCTAAAACTGAAGTTTCTCATTTATTGATTTCCTTTCTTGCAATGGTACAAAGACAATTTAATCGTCTTGTTAAAATCATTCGCAGTGACAACGACACAAAGTTTACTAATAGTTCACTTCAACAATGTTGTCGGGAAGAAGGAATTCTAAATTAGTTTTCTTGTATCTCTACACCCCAACAAAATGGTGTAGTAGAACGTCAATATCGACATTTACCTAATGTCGCTAGATCCTTAAGGTTTCATGTTGGTTTACCAATAAAATTTTGGGGAGAGTGTGTTCTAACAACAACTTATTTAATTAATTACACACCAACACCTCTTTTATCTGGAAAAAGTCCATATGAGTTGTTGCTTTCCTCGAAACCTTCTTATGCACATTTACATGTTTTTGGATGTCTCTGTTATGCTTCAATTATTCCACGATCTCGTGATAAATTTCATGATAGAGCCACACCTTGTATTTTTCTGGGTTATCCATATGGTCATAACGGTTATAAGGTTTTTGATCTAAAAACACATCAAGTATTTGTTTCTCGTGATGTGATTTTTCATGAAAGAGTTTTTCCTTATAAAGAAAATACTCTTTCTTCTCTTAAAAAGCAACCACGAGTACCTTTACCATTGTCGATTGATGATCCTGATCAAACCTTTTTAAGCCAAGGTCCACCACAAGAAAATCTCAATCCAGGCACAATACACCCAAATATGGCTCCAAGTGACACCATAAATCTTCAACAATCACAATATCAGATTATTGAACCATCAAGAACACCTACTGTTCCAACTCGACCTCAACGCACCAAAACCCAACTAGCTCATCTTAAAGACTTTCTAGTCAATCTCCCGAACAATAATAAAGGTTCTTCTTCAGGCTCATCCAACACAGCTTGCTCAGGTATTGGTCCAGCTTATCTTTTATGTCACTATGTTTCCTACTCCAATTTTTCCACGGCTCATACATGTTTTCTTTCGGCCATTACCCACCATAATGAGCCAACATCTTACAAACAAGCAGTACAGGTGGAACACTGGAAGCAAGCCATGAGAAAAGAGCTGGAAGCACTTGAACAAAACCACACACGGACGTTAGAACATTTCCCAGTAGATAAAAGAGCTATTGGTTGTAAATGGGTCTACAAAATTAAGTTTAACTCTGATGGATCAATTGAGTGATATAAGGCGCACCTTGTCGCTAAAGGCTACAACCAAGTAGAAGGTTTAGATTATAATGAAACGTTTGCTCCAGTTGCCAAACTCATTACAGTCGTACACTTTTAGCTGTGCGAAATTGGGAGCTCCATCAACTGGATGTGCATAATGCTTTTATTCATGGAGATTTACATGAATAAGTTTACATGCAACCACCACCTGGATATTTGTCGGTCGAAGATAATAGAGTTTGTCGCCTTCGATGGTCACTTTATGGATTAAAGCAGGCCTCAAGGCAGTGGCTTGCTAAGTTTTCTACTACTATTTTAAGGTTTGGCTTTACACAATCCAAGGCTGACACTTCTTTATTTTTATATCGATGAGGAAATTCTTTTATAGCTATTCTTATATGTGTAGATGATGTGATCGTTGCCACTAATAATTCATTCAATTTGAAAGCTTTAAAGGGCTACTTAGCATCCTAGTTTCCTATAAAGGATTTGGGTCCTCTAAAGTATTTTCTTGGTCTAGAAGTTGCTCGCAGTTCAGAAGGAATAGTTCTTTTACAGCGAAAATACACGTTGGATATTTTAAAAGAAACAGGCATGCTGGGATCTGAACCAGTGAAATTTCCCATGGAGCAGCATCACCGTTTAACTTTGGATGAAAGTTCTTCTCTGCAGGATCCTGGGCCCTTTCGCAGATTGGTTGGGAGGCTGATTTATCTATCCGTTACTAGGCCTGATATTTGTTATTCAGTTCATTTGTTGTCTCAATTCAGTACCAGCCTCGACAGAATCATTGGTTAGCTGCCCTCCGAATATTGTGTTATTTAAAGTTTGCACCAGGCCAGGGTATTTTCCTTTCAATATCAAGTCCTTTATCTATAAAAGGATTCTATGATTCAAATTGGGCAAGTTTTCCACTCACCTGTCGTTCAACCAGTGGGTATATCATATTTCTTGGTCATTCACCTATTTCATGAAAGAGCAAGAAACAAATAACAGTGTCACGTTCTTCTGCTGAAGCAGAATATCGTTCAATGGCAACAACTTCTTGTGAGATCATTTGGATACGCCAATTACTTTCAGACTTATATGTCCCTTATTTGGATCCAGTTTCTTTATATTGTGATAGTCAAGTCGCACATCATATTGCCAACAATCAAGTTCATCATGAACGAACTAAGCACATTGAGGTGCATTGTCATTTTGTTCGGGACTGTATTCAACGGGGTTTGTTGGTTTGTCATCACATTTCAACACAACATCAACTTGCTGATGTTTTTACTAAAGCTTTAAGTGCACACCAATTTCAAATATTAATTGCCAAGTTGGGCATTCGGGACCTCCACGCTCCAACTTGAGGGGGCGTAATAGCGTATTGGTAGTTAGTTATAGCTATGCATTAGTTTGAATTTTGAATCGAAAAGATCTAGTATACAGTTTGTCTCGTATAGGATTCTTCTAGGTATAGAATTTGTGTCCTTGTAGGAGTTAACCACATCGGTTGTTCCTGTACTTTGTATCTATAAAAAGAGCGCCTTGCTCTTTCATTATAAATAAGATCGATACTCTGTTTTACCAATTTATCAGTGGTAATTGGGTCTTCTGAAAATTCAACACTCATTTTAAGATCACTGATTGGAAAAACTGTAAAAGGAAGAATTGAAAAATTAAAGATGAAGTATCTCTACTTATATGGAGTCCATTAGCTAATATTTTTAAATTTGGCAAAAACATTGGCGCTAGAAACTGAAAATTTTAATCTTTTCCCACATTTTTTTTTATGTTATCAATTTTTGTGAAACTATAATTAAAATCATGAAAAAAAACTACTTTTACCTGCAATAGCAAAAACTCAATCATTTTGGAGTTTTTCTTCTTCATTGAAAGATTAAGGGAGAGATAATGGAGAATGGAGAGTGGAGAAGAAAGAAGAGAGAGAAATAAATATATTGGACTTTTTTGAATTTATATTAATGATTGATGTGACATTAACTTATGAGAGAGAGAAAAGTCATAAACTTTTCTATTCAACGTCAGATGTAGTATTTTTTTTTATTTAACAATTTAGACTTATTAATAAGGGTATTTTTGGAACATTGTAAAGTCTTCCCATTTTTTTAAAAATTTGTGTCAAATCAAAGTACATCATATAAAATGAGACGGAGGAAGTAGTAATTACTACGTTGCTTGAGCATTTGCTAATTTTGGAGTTAAATAAACATTTCATCCTAACAATCAATAAAAATTTCGTAGTAAATTAAAAGACGTGCTTCACCATTTATATTTTAAGATATTTTGATTGGTATATATACCATGTGATTCTCGTGTTTTTTGAAGGAGAAAAATGCTAGTGGAAGCTTACATGATTGACCACTTTTGTTTGAAAACCAAGGATATCAATGATAATTTTTTTTAATTAGAAATATATAATGGTACAAAAACTGAAGTAAAACCTATCTTTATCTACTGCTATTTTTGTGCTACAATTTTTTTTCCGGAGTAGCTTTCACAAAAAGTTGGTAAGTAAAGAAAGGACTAAAATCAGGATAAACACGTGGGCAACTAATAATATTTTATGTTATTTTTGTGCTACAGTTTTTTGGTTAAATAGAAACCCACCACATTAGGACTAATATTATTTTCTGGGCTTCAATTTATGTGATGTAATTTAATTTGATATGAAAAAAAATATTAAGCAATTCAAAAATAAGAATTGCTAATGACTGTGAAAAGTAAGGGTCATATTTTGTTAAATATCAAATTATCTTATTGAAACTGAAATTTTTAATATCATCATGATTCAATATTTAATACACATTTTAGTAATATATGTCGGAAAAATTAAATTGCAGCTTAGGAAAAGTTAATTTGTTATATTATGATTTGGAAAGTTGATTTCTCTTATGTTCACTCAACTAATAGTTCAATATTATTTTAAAAATTACTCTGTTAATTAAAAAAAAGTTAAAATTCATCTGAGAAATCGATCCTTAATTTGCATAAAGATTAAAGTGATGCACCTTCTTCAAATATATAGTAGGTCTAGCAAATAATTGTCCAAAAAAGAGAGGACACACTTCAGATGCATCTTTTCTTCTTTTTTTCGTTTTATCAATATTTAACTTATACTCGTATGAAAAGCAAGTTGGCGTGTTAGGTCTTAAAAGTATAATAATTAATATGAGCTACTGGTCAATGATATAATACTATTCTTTATTCAAACCCACTCGTTCCCCATGAATTGATTGTATTATATTAATAAAGGATCTTTTTTATTATATATATTCCAAAGTGCAATTAATTAATTAAGTAGAGTATATATTAAAAAGATATCTGAACAATTATATTACTACTATGTAGCACAAATTGACTACTTCAATGCACATAATAAATGTTAGTACTATATCTAATCTACCTTCGTAGTTGACTTCTCATTTGGCTACTACATTTCTTTCTTGTTAGATCTATAAAGAATAGAGATCTTCCCAAAAGAAAAAGACTCAAGAAATTAAATAAATCTTAGTACAAACTATGTCACTAATTATGATCCCAGCAGCTTGTTACATGTCAACAAATTTAGTTAATCCTTGCAGCAGCAGCAGATCTATAACTCAGATCTTCAATCCTTTAGCCAATTCTAAAATCAACAATGGTGATCGTGTTCTCACTGTTACCACCTCCAACAGATCTGGTGTTCTACGAAAAACTAACAAAAACACGAGGTAATTTATCTTACGATATTTTGTATGATTCACTTTTCTTTTTATTCTGTCTCAATAAAAGATATTGATACATTTCATAAGTTTCTTCTTTTTTTTCTTAAATTACGTGTTCATTCAATGTGATCATAAAAATTGTGGTGATGTATAGGGATTTAGTTGTCCATGCAACTGCTGAGACAGGAGATCTGCTTTCAAGTGTTGTTCCCTTTTTGCCAACTGGTGAAAATTCTTGGTATGAATTTTTTTTTTAAACAAGTTAAATAATGCACGTAAATTTTGAGTATTCTTACTTAATTTGACATAATAATTAAATGTTATTGGCAGGGTTAGCTGGGCTGTGGGATTAGGTGTAACAGTACCTTTGATAACAGCAAGATTATTAACAGTAACAAGTAAGGATCGGATAAATATATTTATTTTTTGGTATACTTTTTATTTTATTTAAAAAAAATTAATTGATTTGGGATCAACGTTCAATAGAGCAAGTTTCACTTGCGGCGGAGACGGTGGAGAAGGTGGCGGAAGCGGTGGAAAAAGTGGCGGACGATGTGGACAGGGCGGCGGAGGAATTTGCTGCGAAGCTGCCGGAAGGTGGAAAACTCAGAGGCATAGTGGAATCCATTGAACATTTAGCTGAAGAAACTGAAAAGGACGCTCAATTAGTCCAAGATCTCATGGACAAGGTTAATTTTGTCTTTTTTCCTCAATTTTAATTTTCACCTACTTAGCAATTCTTACAAAAAATATGCAATTTAAAAAAAAAATTGAGTTAAAAATATGTAATTAATATAAACACTGCATCATTTATTCAGATGATCAATTAAAATAAGTCGCAGTTATTATTATATTGTAGAATAGATCTTGAATGGGTTGATTTCATTTTGATCCCTTTGTTATTGATAAATTTTAATTTCAGTCCTTAATGATTATGATATTTAATCTTTAATTACTTAAAATGTGCATTTTTAATCGCTTTGTTGATGAATATTTACAGAAATTAATCTTGTTTGGTATGATTGATGATTATATAGGTTGAAGAAGTGGATGAAAAGTTGGAGGCATTTATCTCTAATCAATTGACAGTGAAGGTACAAAATTCATCAAATGATGGAAAAAAGAAATAATAGATTGGTAATTGTTGTTCTTCCACTTATTATACACTATGTATCATTTGTATTTTATTTTTCCTTAGATGTAAGTTTGATTCCACTTGTAAAATATTGGCATTCAATAAATATTTTAGTATGCTATTTATATCACTTTATTATAGAATCCACATGGTTCTACAGATGGTTTTCAGAAGTGTACTTATTAATTATTATATCCTCAACAACTGTATGCTCCACGGGGGAATTATTTATTTATCGAACAATTTGATAAATATATTAAAGTATATAATGCAGCTTGCTACATTTTACGATTTTTAAAGTAGAATGAAATAAATAAATAAAGATATTTTATAGGTTGAAATATCTCATTTAAATGTTTTATCAAATCTTTTATATGAGATAGTAATTTTTTTACCATATAAATGATAAAATAAATATTTTTTCGGAAATTATCTTACATCTCAAACCATATTTGGAGTTTCTAATAACTTGAAATTGAAGATGTTTGTGACTACTTGTCAATCATTTTGCCATATATTTAAATTGCGACTATTTTGTTTAACTACTTTGCTGGCTATGTTCTAATTAGCAACTAGTATAAAAGTTCTTATTTGGTATCATTTCTCTCGATTCAAAGTCAATTAGTTCGGGTAATTCGTGGTTTACTAGTCTAATTCTAGGGGCTACATCACGTGTTAAGTCTTTACAATTAATACGTAGTTTGTTTGGCCACAAGTAATTTTCCATAAGTTAAAAAATGTAGTTTTCTCCTAAAAGTACTTCTTGAAAGGGACTTTTGAGAAAATTACATTTAAAAGTATTTTGAATAGATTGCCAAACACTAAGACTGAATTTTTTAAATTACCCATTAAACATAAGATCATATATACTTAAGTAAGTCAATATATATACCCTATTAAGCCAATGGAAGATTAATTCATATTGAAATATTATTATTGTCTCAGTGTTTGTCTTTGGCTTTAGAGGAGTTGTGACACTAGATAGGAAACATGATTTTACTATGTTTGAAATTTATTAATTTCCATGATGCCTACTTTTTTGTTTTAGTACAAAGTTCTTATGTTTGGATTTGTTAATTCCCAAATTGTAATGCTTCTGTTGCTAGGTATTTACCTTTATAATAATTTCGTTATTTGCATGAAGACAAATTTTGATACAAATATTTTATTTGGATGTTTATTATTTGGTAAGAAGAAAAGGAAGCAAATAGGAACTTAACTTATAAGCTCACAAAAATTCGAAATTACAAAACCGATTCATTCAAAATACTTAAAAGAGTCGATGCAGTCCATATTTATTTGGATCAGCTAAAATTGCAATTTCTTAGATACAAAATTAATTAAGAATTTTTACCTCACTGAAGAAAAATCCTATATTACTAATATATGTACTTTTAAATTTTGTTTGCCAAACGTAGCAATTACACTTTGTAGCAAATTTAATAATAAGAAGAAAAAGTCTAAACATGTCTCCTAATCTTTATACGGTACAATTACATACCTATTTCATACATAAGTTATACAACACTTATATATATATAAAATTGTGAGTGAAATTTGAGGTGCGAATTCGTATAAAAATAAATACATATTATGTTTGGGGTAAGAGGAAAACTTTTATCATTTTGATAATTATGGATCTTCTTCTGTAGATACAGAAAATTATTCGAAGTTAAAATTTTCTTGCAAAGTTTAGTCACAACAACTTCAGATATTCGGACATGAAGTATTGTCTTGTGAAGAATTTTTTTTAGATATTTCTGCTTAAAGCTTGGTATGACTTGCAAAAGCCAACTCCAAGCATATTTTCCTAGAATTGTGGACTTGACAAAGCAAATTTTAAATATTTTTGACTGAATTTTGTCTAACTTGCCAAAGCTACCCTCAGACACTTTTACTAAGGTGCATGTAAAGATTGGTTGAAATTTTAATCATGTGTCTAAAATTAGGCATGACTGACGTACATATAAAAAATTAGCTAAAATTTTAGTTATATGTGCCTGCTTATTTATTAATTTTTTTTGTCAAAAATAAATAAATATTTGTTCTTTGAATTTCAATAATCCAACACATAAACTCAACATCTTGAATCTACTACAAATAAACTCAAATTTAAACATAAGTTCAGCTCTATGTGAAGAACAAACTCTAATCATCAATTTGTCAAAACAACAATTAATCCAACAAACTATTTTGTATTCATTTGATTTTAATGTAGGGAAAATTGTATATAATAGCAAACTATTAATTCAAATTAAATGCTATAAATATAGTTTGATTTAATTGTACCTCATAACAAATTGTTGCTATTTCACCTCTCTCCTGGTGAATCTCGCTCGCCACTCTCGTTCTCTCCCTCGCCTCTCTCATTTTTTATACAAATGCAAGTGTATAAAGTGTGTTTGTGTTTGTATAAAGCGAGAGAAAATTGTATAAATACATATATTTTCGTTC